ATTACGCCATTGACATTCTAGGATGTCGCAGTCCATCAGTTTGCACTTCGTGGTCATGACTCATGACCCCTGCAACTTATCGTGCATCGGTTTTTGGTAGAAACGATGAGGTTTTGTTGAAATCACTTGCTGCGGGCACATTATTTGCTATGGCTGCCTAAGTAACTCGAACAACAAATCTCGAAATCCCAAATCACTGTCGTTCTGAACACTAAGATTAGGAGCCAGGAAGTGCACAGCCCAGCCCGTCAGCCTTTTCGGGGGGGGGGGGGAGTTGCTTGCCACGTGTCTGGTCCCAGTACAACTACATGTTCCCGTCTTTTGAATGGTAAGTGTTCCAACCAATATGAACATGTTCTTTTGCCGTTACGTGTGTGATGTTGCTCGTCGGCAACCAATCGAGGGAGAAATGTATCCATCAACTGGCTGCCGTCTATTCGAGAAACCCGAAAGCCTAATCCCATTGTTCAGCAAACAGCCCCAATGCAAAGCCAAGCCTCAACTCAAATCCCAATACCCTAAAGACCGAAACCTAAACCCTAAACTCTAAACTCTAAACCTAAACCCTAAACCCTCAAGCTGTCGTCAGAAACTTTACATACCTTTCAGATTTGGCTTTCTGTGCTGCTGCCGAATGAAGGTCCTTGAAAGCTTTGGAGGCCACGCTGGCGGGCACGCTGCGAGGCCAGACCTAGGCAAAGCGGAGGGCTTGGCAGCACGTTATTATTGACCGGGGCCTTGAGGATAAGGATCCGACTACTAAAAACCCTAGACCCTGAACCCTAAACCCTACTTTAGGGTTTGTTTTTTTACTACCCCTTTTCCGTCTGCCCAAAGGTTAGACGGAACTAATTTAGGGTTTAGGATACAGACCCGACTACTTAGGATCTAAGTGCGGGAGGCCTTGGGTCCCGAAGCTAGGCTTCAGCGCTGACCTAAAACCGGGAAAACCTACCCTTACTCTTGAAGGACCTAAACAGAGAAATCATAGTAAGGAACCCTAGACAGCTAGGTTTTATCGGGTTCAAGTGGAGTTCAGGCTTTGCTCCCAGGCTGAACAGAAGTTTTGTGGCTTCGGGCAAAGGTCACGTGAGGGAATCTTTAGAGCTTTTATGGGGTGAAGGACTGTAGGGCTGTAGGGTGTGATGTTAGGACTCCCTGGTTATCAGCGTTTTGGGGTTTTGTTGCGCTGCACTGGTATGGGTCCTTGGTTTCCTGGAAGGGGTGGACACGGTCTATGATTTACAGGCCTTAGGCCAAGGAATTTAATTCAAGTTACTGCAATAAGGGAACCATATTATTAACTCTAGATGTGACTTAAGTTAAACCTAAACCCTAAACCCTAAACCGTAAAATTCTTATAACAAGAACCCAGTCTATAAGCCTCTATAACCCTCCGACCTCCAGGAAAACATGAAATCAGAGCCCGAAACCGGCAAGCAGTAGCTGCAGCAGCAGCAATAGCCGCGGTTTGAGCTAGCAAATTGGCTGCTTAATTAGATGATGGGTTGGTTGGTTAGTCCGTTCAGTTCAGTCTAGCTTGTAGTTCACGTTGGTTGGCTGGCGAGCTGGCCAGCTAGCTAGGTACTTAGATAGTCAGCCCGTCCGTCAGCTGCAATGGAGCTGCAAGCAGCAGCAACACAAGCGTAAAGAAGCAGTGGAAAAGGACCAAGGCTAACGTAGGGGCCTCAATCTCAATTGTTAGAGTCGGATTTTGGGCTACGATAATTTCAATAGCAAACCCGCCAGAATAGTATTGGTAGCTATTCAGGCCCCTAAACCCTAAACCATAAATTTACTGAGCCGAACCACTTGAGAGCCGCTTTGTCGAAGTCGCTTTTCGCCAGGACGGCTCGCCGTGCTGAAGCCTTCAAGGGACCCATCGTACACGCAGTACTATAGGGGTTAGGGGTTTAGGGTTCAGGGCCTGTTTAGGGCTTCGGGCAATATAGGAACCTGAATGATTGGAGTAGGGTTTTCGGCGTATTTTTTTACGAGACAAAAGGGCCTTAATGATTGGAATACGGTGTTGGGCGGTTTGGGGGTATAATATACTAAAGTTGTAATAAGAAAACCCAAAAATTTATAGTATTGGTAATTATCTAGGCCCCGTCGGGGTTTGCAGGGTTCTTTCTATAGAGGCCTTAGTGAGGCAGGCCTTCACAGCGTGTTACAGCCATGGACCAAGAAGTTCATGCTCATTTGCGCAGACGCAAGTCTCTGAGGAGAAAGCAGACTGCGCTCACACATCAAGGCAAATACGTTTAAAACCCAAAGCTGAACAGAAAAACCCTGTACCCTAAACCCCAAACCCTTTTACATAGGCTTGATTGGAGCCCTAAGCCCTAAAACCCAAACCCGAAACCCGATTATCTCCCTTCAGACTTCCTGCCATCTTGCGATTCGAAACTTGCAGCAAGATCGCAATCTACAGCACCAACGCCGACCTGAAGCCCTGGAGCATAATAAAGTAAAGTATATAGTAGGGAATAGTATAGTATAGTAGGGTATGGTATAGTATAGCTTAGTAGGGTATGGCATAGTATATCTAGTAAAGTACGGTGTGGTATAGCAGGGATGGTATAGCATAGTATAGTATAGTATGGTGTGGTATGGTATAGAGTTCCCAAACTTTGTTTAACATCTCTCGAACAGTGGACTGGTATGACCTCCGGTTTTACAAACCTCAGCCCGCAGCCCAATTGCCCTGGGCATGCCACCTTGACACCCTGCATGAAACAGATGTGCTAATATATATATATAAATATATTAAAATATAAATAAATATATATATATATATATATGTATAAACATATATATATATATATATGTATACATACATATATATATATATATTATAACATAATTATAGACCGAGGGAGACCAGGTAGGCCCCCTGTTGGGCACTCGTACCCGTACAACATTCAGATACAGATGGTAAGCCCACATTCATCGATATTTGCGGGGTGTTCGATTCATACCGCGTACAAGCATTCAAAACACCTACTCTTTTCGCAGCCTAGAGGGGGTCTACCGGGTTTCCCCTCCCCTCTCTATCTATATGTATATGTATAGAAAATACAATGCAATATGATATAATGTAATCTAATAAAACATGATATGATATAACATATTGTAAGAGAATAGAACGGATGCAGGCATGCATGCAT